TCCTATAAATGATATTCGGGCGATATCTTGCGTCTCCTAATTAGACAAAAAGATAAGCCGTCCAACATTTCATCGACCGGCCAGGCGTATCGACTTAACACCGTCGAAATGTCACAAACAACCTCTGAGAAGTCCGATGCAATCACGCCGGCACCGGTCCGTAGCAGCGGCAGCATTGACGCCGGCAAGCTCGAAAACCCTGAAGATGCTTATGAGGTCTTCAAGAGAGGCGACGGAGCGGTTGACTTTCGCACGGTTGGTTGGGTCCATGCCTCGGTCATTTTCTTGAAGGGTATGCAATCGAAACCCTAGTCCTGGAGTTATCGTATTCAAAGCTGACATATTCAAGTCATTTTCGCCACTGGTGTGCTCACAATCCCGTCTGCTATGTACGTCTTGGGTGCGCTTCCTGGTGCCATCAATGTCTTGGGCTGGCAGTTCTTGAACACGTACTGCGCGATCATCCAAGGAAACTTCCGTAATGCACACGCCGGATGTCACTCCATCGCTGATATGGCCAACGTCGTTGGTGGCACTTGGTTGAAAGAGGTTGTGGGCGTCTTGTTCCTCGTCACCTATGCCATCGTTGGCGCTTCAGGAATATTTGGCACATCGGTTGCTTTCAACGCTCTTTCTAACCACGCAATCTGTACCAACTCCTACATGTTGGTTGCAACGGCTTGCGTCTTCATCCTTGCGAGTGCCCGCAAGTTCGAGAAAATCGCCTGGCTGACATGGGCTGGCTTCATCTCGGTTTATGTCGCCGTCTTCATTGTTGTGTGAGTCACTACTCCTTCCTCTTCCCATATACAACAACTAATCGCTGCATTAGTGTCGGAGTTACCCAGGTGGACCGACCTGCCGCCGCCCCTAAGACTGGCGACTTCGATCTTGGATACCACGTGATCGGCAACCCGAACTTTGTCACTGGCATCACCTCCGTCGCTACCATCTTCTGCTCGGGCGCCGGTACCTCGGCTTTTCTTCCCGTTATCTCGGAGATGAAGAAGCCCAGGGACTACAACAAGGCTGTCTACCTTTGCATGGGAATTGTTACCGCGTCGTACTTGACCTTCTCACTGGTTGTCTACCGATACTGCGGTCAATGGGTGGCCTCTCCATCTCTCGGAAGCGCAGGAGATGTGATCAAGAAGGTCTCCTACGGGATTGGCTTGACAGGTCTCATGGTCAGTGCCTGTCTTTACATCCACGTTGCGGCGAAGTACCTCTTTGTTCGTCTTCTCCGCGACTCAGTCCACTTGCAGAAAAACTCCATCGTGCATTGGTCTGTCTGGCTTGCCTGCACTCTCGGCATGTCTGTTGTTTCGTACCTGATTGCCTCTGGCATCCCCATCTTCAATTACCTTCTGGCCTTGGCGGGAAGCTTGACGTTTGCGCCACTGGCGCTGGGACTTCCGGGATATCTCTGGGTCTACGACCACCAGCACTACCGCCAAGGTAGCTGGTGGAAGGTCATGGTCTACTGGCTTAACTGGCTGATGATTCTTCTGGCTGTATTCCTCACTATTGGTGGTACATATGGTGTTGTTCAAAACATCATTGATGCCTACGCAAACGGTTTAATCGGAGGTGCGTTCGCTTGCGCAGACAACAGCGGATCTTCATAAAAGGCAGAAGGGGCTGCGTGATGAGAAAATTGTGGAGAATTCTTCGATGACGATAGGCTCAGTTGCTTGGAAATGCTACCCAGTTAAGATGATATCTGTCGAAGGAATCGGGCATTTAATAATGAGGTAGAAATCCTTGATAAAATTCAATGGGATAACAATACATTGCAAACGAGTTCCCAACGTACTATGCTGAAACAGTGTAGCGCCCGCAGAGTTGCAAAAAATCCAATAGTTGATGTCTGATCAGTGACACAAGGACGCCGGCATGACGACACTCTTGTTATATCACGAGTGCGGGGGTTAATGCGAATCTGCTAATGAGACTTACCTCTACGTAGTAACATAATACTTGGACGTGCCTGTCGGTCACTTAGAGAGCTCGCCCGTCTCTAATGCATTCGTCGGTATTAGTATCCCGCTGCCCATGTACACAAATGCAAGAAAACCGACCTTGCCATGTCAAAAACCTGTCTGCTTATGTGCCAACTTTACTCAAAGTCTTCTCAATCATAGCCTGAGGGAATCACCGATCTGCAGACACACATCATCATGAGCTTCGAGGCCAGTCAAGCAGCGTCGATGAGATCACTCTTGCCAGACTGGGAGACCTCAAGTGCCTCATAGCTGTCTTGGACGAAACTTTGCGTATCTACCCTCCCGCCAATAGCAACCACCCCCGTTTGCTTCCTCCGGAGGGTGCTACAATTTGTTGTCGATTCGTTCCCGGAGGCCCTTTGATTGGTATTGGTCATTATTCTTGTTTCCGCCCAAGCAGCAACCTCGCTGATCCTGACGACGTCGTGCGTGAGAGGTGACCCAGCGAGGATATCAAGTATGCCAGTGATAGAAGGGAAGCCTTGCAACCTTTTGGTATCGGAACTCGCAGCTACATTGGAAAGAAGTACCGTAAGTCGTAAAATGACCTTGAGACGAGTTAGAAACCTGTAGCTGACACATATGCCAGTCTCGCATACAACGAGATGCGTCTCGTATTTGCTACCTTGATGTTCGAATTTGAGATCAAGCTGCTTGAAGAGTCCTCGACGTGGGAAAGACAACAAGTGTCTTACAACTTGGTTCAAAAAGCCTCTTATGGCTGGGCTACATCGGGTGAAGGTAGCTAGACGCAAGGCAGAGGTGTAACACTAAGACATAGTCATGATGAGAGAAAATTGGGCCGCCGATGGATTGATTGAAATCAACTAGATTGGCTCCAGTCTCAGGGCAGTGCTCATATCAAGACTCCAGCAATTTGTACTTCACGAGACCATTAACGACAAAGAAACTGTGCTTCGTTAACCGAACAAAGCGTTTTGAACTATGTGATAATGCCTACCTGTGGAGATGCCCAAAATCATTGTAAGCTATATCCTGTGTTGATTACAGCCCCGATAGTAGATCCGTTGGCACCTTAAAACCCAATACACAATGCAAATCAGATCAGAATAGCCATGCCTTGAGCGTTCTTCCCAATCCCCATATTCTGCAACTGGAGATGCTGTATTTGTTTCTTTTGAACTGTATCAAGAACCGTTACAGCTGCACTGGTGGTACCGTTTCCTGGAGCTAGCGCGTAGACGAAGTTGCCGGCAGCTTTGAGATCAATGAGACCCTGGTCGCCGTTAGAGCTGAGATCGATGATGTTCTTGACACTTGCATCCGTCAAAGACATCTCCACCACTCTGTTTAAACCCACATCCGTGACGAAGGCTGAGTTTGATGCCTTGGAGAAGGTACCCCAGCAGGTAGCCTTTTGTCCGTCAATGACACCCTTCGCCTTGACCGTGGCGAGTTTGGAACTTTGATCAACGGATAAAACAGCAGCACCAAATGATGCATCTGTGACAAACACGTTGTTAGACTCGGGAATGTTGAATGATCCGAATAGAACAGCTGTTCCAGCCGGCGAAGAGCGTTGTGGTTGCTCAGCTACTGCTGCGTGGCCAGCCATTTGGCCCACTTGATAGGAAGCAAAGAAGCCGGTGTTGTTCTTGACCGAATCACCCTTCACCGTAGCATACAAGCTTTTCTGATCGTCAGAGAAGAAGACTTGAGAAATAGTGTTGGTTGGTCCCACTGGCGGGGTAGTTTGATTCAATGTTATGGCGCGGAGACTGTCCATTGGGCCCATGCCAGAGTCGGAAAACGATGCGCACGAGATTCCAGCCTTCGCACCAGTAGTCCCAACGCAAATGAGGTGGTTTCTCTCTGAAGCAGCGACCGTGTTGGGAAATTCGCCAGGGACAGTAGCTGGCTGCCCGATCATTGTGAGTTTCGTCGGGCTAGCTGGGTCGATCTTGAACATGACAACAGTATTGGACCCAGCATTGATAGTGAATAGATACTGCAAGATGTGAAGTCAGACCATGAAAGCACTTCGAACTCACAGCATACTCACGTTTCCAGCTAATGCTACAGCAGACTGAGAGACCAGCCCATCAGGCGCAGCTGGTTGATTTGTCATGCCATTGACAGAGGACATACCAGAGCCACGAGTGGAGATGATGGTCCCTTCAGACAATTGCCCGTCTGATCCAATCGGCAGAGCGACAATGGCATTGGCTTGGTCATTGGTGATGAAATAGGCTGCTCTGCCGGATTGCATCTTGCCGTTGGCGCGATCAGGAATCCTGCATGCTCTGGATGCAGCCACAGACACCAGTCCAAGCAGGCAGAATGCAAGCATCGGTGATCTCAAGTACATGATTGAATGATTTGATGGTGGGAATGACGATAGAAGAAATCGAGGGCCTGTACTCGGAAAAGGTAGGAGATGATTTAAACAGTGATTTAGGGAATGATCTGGACAATGAACACACTTGGGCAACATCTCGTACTTATAGAATCCATCCATTTCCGTTCTAGATCTGATAAACCAGCTAATACTTATCACAAATTCTCGTCCAGAAGCCGCAGTGGTTGAAATGGAGAACATAACTCGTGTAATCGAGATTTCCCTTTTCGGACAAGACGATTCCAGAGCGCGGGTTGGATTGAAGGATTCTGACTAAACTGGTTGGCTTAGACTGTCCAGCCTTCCTTGTGAATGGAGACGGTGTCGCGGATCGTAGTATCAGCTTCGTCTGATCCATTTGGGGGAGCTAACCACAAGAGGAAACTCTGATATTCTCATCGCGCTAGATGAAACAATGAAAGCTGCTTGATTTTCGGCTGAACTGCCGAAGCCACCCACAGACTCCAAACCTTGAATTTGGGTAGCCTCTACCCCTTGCTTACACGGTGTTCCTCACACGGACGTAGTTCAGGGCATATTTATCCCTCTGTCCCGCGGATGCTATAGAAGCCTGCCACACTGTACGTTTGATTTCTCACAACACGAAGCGACCAGACCTTCCAAAAGATCGAACCATGAGCAGCAAAATCTTCAAAATCTTCAATCCGGGAGGTCAGTGCCAAATTTGCGCGAGTGCTATCTAGAATCGCGAACATCTAGTACCTAGCTTCAACTCAATTAACATACCTTTTGCAGCCCCAAAGGAAGACCCCGTACAAAAACGTCGAGCACAACTTCGGCGTGCTCAGAAGTACGATAACCAATATCTCTAGTGAGATCACGAAGGGAAGTGCTGAATGAAGCTGCAGATCGTATCGTGATCGGAAGGAAATCTATACAAAGTCATTGGAAAAGGAAGTCGCACAGACGAAAACTCGAGAAGCCGAACTTACTCGTCAATGCGAGCAATATTGTGTTACAATTCGACAACTCACGCAGATGTTACGGCATCATGGAGTCGATCTTTCCAACGACTTGGAGCTTGATCCTACCTACGGACAACATCTCTCGCATACTCCGCTGCTCAATCAGCTCTCTCCACCATGGACACCAGAGGAGTCAATCTCCCCACAGCCGGCGCAGAACGACACGGATGTTTTACAGGCGATAGATGCTCATCGATCTCCAATTCAATTCTTGTCAAGCGAAGAAAGCCAAGCCAGTGCAGTCCAAGGCCCGCCCGTCTCGCACGTCAACGAATGGCCTTCATGGAATATGTCCTTTAAGGATGTTACGAGACAACCTTCACCACTTGTGCCTCCTGCCGCTCGTTTATGTGGGCTTGACCACACATTGGTTGGAATGGACTTTGTCCTGACGTAAGATTTCAGAGTTTTCGTTCGGGGTTGAGTTCGTGACTGATCTTTCACCTCAGCATTGAGAATCCTTGTCTCGGGCACCTTCATGGCGATCTAGGCAATCCACATAAGCCGACAGGTCACGCTTTGACAACTTCGGCACAGCTATTCTCCATCACAGGCACGTCAGCGGAGATTCCCAATCATATGGGTTTACCGCCCTACGAAAAAGCCCCAAAAGAGCTTCTCAATCGTTTGTTGGATCTATCGTCATCGCTATGCCCGGAAGACGAAATCACGCCGACTCAAGCTTGGGAATACATCCGTGCTCAGACGAATTTCGGTGGTCTTGAACTGTACAAATTCCAGGCTCTCGCTGGGAAACTACGGGAGGCAGTGAAGTGCCACGGGTATTTTGGTTCTGCTGCATGCCGCCATATCATGATGCTGACTGTGGTGACAGTTTTGGAGCGGTTATCGATCGAGCGCTCTTCGAAAGTTTAGTGCACAATGTGTTCATCAAGTAACATTGATGTAGCTGGATAAAGCGGCTCACCTGCCATTTGTTCCAACGTGGATACACCATACACGAGCAAGAGAGCCATCCGCCGCTTTTTGCCAGAAACAATCATCGGGAGACATCAAATGCGCATTGCGCAGCTTGAATGAATGGACGCAAGGCACTTTGAAAGCGTCGTCGTAGAAGAATTAGATTTGGTACTTTTATTCATGCCGGTATCCTCATCGTCTCTTCCATCCACCACAGTGATGATGTTGTCAGATTACTCATGCGACCATTTCTGATTCATGCTTCTTGTTCTTCCCAAATAGCTTGCGAATACTACCCCGAAACGAGCTCGGTGGGTCGGTAAACTGTGCCTCGTATGCGTCAATGATAGGCTTATCCCAGATAAGATCCGCCTCGGCAGCAGGAACAAAGCGTGTTCTCTTGTACAGCTTCCAAGCCGAGAAAGTGATGATGCCCACGAAGATCATCGTGTAGTAAGAGAAGAAGGTCAGGGTATCCCAATGGCCCGGTAGGAAGGTAGCGTAGCCGAAGCAGGTGACCATGAATGTCATCCACACGATTCCAATGTAGGCGCAGTAAGGCTGGAAGTACCCATAGTATGGCAGATTTCTCCGGATGATGCCTTGGGCATTGCAGGCTCTGTAGAAGAACACATAAACTACACAAATGATGACATAGTTGAGAAGCTGCGCGGCCTGCGTCAAACTTTGCAACATTGTCACGACCTTTGCCGTATTGTTTGAAACCTGCAAGAATGACAACAATGGGAATAGCATGACCAGCGCGAAAGCCCAGATGGGAATGCCATTCTTGAGACACTTCTTGAAGATGGGCGGTGCCTGGCCATCGAGGGCAAGACCGTAGAGACTGCGCATAGCGCAGTAGGTGTAGGCATTGCCGGCGCTGAATATACTTGTGCAAAGAAGGGCGTTGATGATATGAGGAAGGACGTCAATGCCCATGTTCTTCAGAGCAATGACGTAGGGCGAGCCATCAGCGGTTCCGGCGCCAGCGTTTTCGAGCTTTGGGTCGTTGTAGGGCACTACAATGCCAATGGCGATGGCGCTGCCGATGAAGAAAATACCGAAACGCCAGTATACCGTCTTGAAACCTTGCTTCAGGTAGATACGAGGCCTCTGGGCCTCGCCAGCCACCATGGAAATGTATTCGGGGCCGACGACCGTAAATCCAGCGGAGAAGATGGAGGCTAGCAGGCCTTGGAAACGGCCAAGATCGCCGGTATTGATGTACTCAGCGAAAGCTCCCGGGTTCTTCCAAGTTCTGAAGCCATAGGCATCGTGTTGAGGGTTACCGCCGACCATGGTTATGAAGGTGAAGGAGAACGCCATTGCGATGAGCAAAAGCTTACCGCTAGCCAGCCAAAATTCTGCTTCGCCGAAGTACTTGACGGCAACGACATTGAGCAGTCCGTAGAGGACGATGCAAGCAACGCAGACTGCAGCTGCAGGAATGTCGTCACGCCAGAAGGTTAGAATCAAGTTGAGCGCAGAGATCTCGAACGGAATGAGGAATGCTTCATAAAGGAAGAAGTTCCAACCCGCCATGAAACCGAGGGCTTCGTCCACCCACTTGCCGGCATATCGAATAAACGATCCAGTGATTGGCATGTAAACACACATCTCGGCCATACAGTTGTTGACAAGGCCGACCATGACAGAATGAAGCGTGTAGCCGATGAGCAGGCTGGCCGGGCCTCCGCGCTGTAGGCCGGTACCAATGCTAACGAATAGAGCAGTACCAATCGAGCCACCAATAGCGATAAGCTGAATGTGTCGGTTCGTCAAGTGTCGCTGGAGCTGGTCGACATTCTGGCTGCTGACATGAACCTCTCCGCTCTGGCGGAAGGAGTTGGAGATCGAACCGCGCTTCTCGTTGGGTGCGCTGTCGTCGCTTCGTGTGTTGGTCCGGTTTAGAGCGCTAATGGCGCCTTTGTCCTCGCTTGCTGCCGCCATGATGGGCGCAAGAGAGATTCAAACCGTCGAGGCAGTGTTATGGGGCAGAAGAAGATGTGTGAAGTCAGGACATGTGGCTCGAGGAAGGTAATGCGATGTAAGCAGGAGTCCAATTGGCGCAGACGCAGTGTGGTTGAAGCTCGGGGGGGTTGAAGGGAATTAGGGATGGCAAGATATAAGAACACCGCAGATAAAACAGGGAGATAGCAGGGAAAGCAAGAGTAACCAGGCACGGGGGATACACGGCGAGACGGTCGGAACGGGGAGGGCCCTCAACGGCCAACGGGGGCTCCAGTCTCCAGCATACAGTCCCGCGCGTTGGTCCACTCGTTCGGTCCACTCAGGGTCCCTCGAGCACCTTTGGAGAAGCGAGATGGCCAACCAGAAGACACGCCAACACGAGCACGCAGGGAACAGGTATCTAGTGTACTAACAATCTTGCAACAAAGCACTTCACACACGCTGCCCGGCGCTGTTGCAATGTACTTCTACGGACACCCAGCTCTTTCAGCCAGCGGGGACAGTGAGCTAAGCTGGGAATAGCTTGATAACACGGGCATGGGTAGCAAGCGTCGGGGGTTGACAAGGACACGCAAGGAGGGATGAGGGACGAGGGATGATGGGCCGCATTTAGCTGCGCCATTGGCGAAAGCGCGGGTAGGCGGAATATGCCAAGTCCAGCTTGTAATGGACCGCTCAGAATACGCAGGCACAATTCCAACCATTAAAGATATGTGGGCTGACGTGCCTTTGACCCTGTACCCGATTCATTCGCACCAACCCGCTTCTCTTCCTGTAGACTGGAGTGCGCCGTAGAGTTTCACCTACCCCACACCACATCGTCATCTTCCAGGGGCCTGGCGTTTCCAACAGGCGCTACAAGCGACGTGATTGCACAATCTCAGGTCTGGAGTCGGCGGTGTCATTTGCCGTTGCGACCATTGGACTTTGCTCCATTTGACTGGCGGGCTTCTCCAGGCACCACGTGTAGTAGGTACTAAAGCGAATAGCCGTCGGGTAGTAATACTGAGTTCGCCCGCTTGTTTCATGCGAGGTATCAGCGGGGCCCTAAATAGCCAGTGAAAGTTGATCGCGTTTGGGAATCTCCCATTCACTAGTTGTGAGTATCGACAATGCGATGTTGAACGTTGGCAAGAAGCCCAATCGCGGTATCTGGTGTAGATGTCATGAACTACACAGCCACTGTGCCTCCAAATAGGAGCCACATCACTGTTCGTTGGACCGGACTGACGCGCGGGCAGGCGGGATGACCTGCTCAACGCGCCAACATTCATGAATAGGTCTCGACTGCGCGACTTTCTACACGAGCCACCGGATTGGATGACACGCACGGGGGTGGAGGCAAGCTGATGAACCTCTACTGATCCCATGTTTAGGGATGGTGTGGCGATGTCTGAGCGGTGTGCTACCGGTCGCAACCCGCTGATAATGGATGAAGGTACAAACTCTGCGTCTGTATCCGCACAATCGAGGGAAGTGCATTTGTTGACATTGTACTCGGCATCCCGCTGCCTAGTCCTCGTTTGCAGCGACTGGTCGTAGAGGTATCCCATCAAAATATGTTGCAATCCTCGCCTGCCTGTCTGCAGCATTGCTCACGCCGAGATCCATGCCGTGCTGCCGTAAGTGGGGGACCGCCGTCTCCGTAGTGTGTGTGTGTATGTGGCCAGCCAACCAGCCTGAAATTGTACTCCACAAAGACTGCTTTCAGCTCTTGAGAGTTGGCAAGGAATTGGCGAAGAAAAAACAAAGATAAGATAGCATGTCAAGAGTAGACGCGTGTAGTCTGATAGTCGTCTCCGAAGTTGAGATAAAGATGAGGCTAGGATCGCCTGAGAGCCCGAGATAAGTGCGAGCTTCTGTAGTTCTAACAGCCGACGAGCATGCGTTATTCGATAAGCTGGTGAGTACATGCATTGCGGCTCGGAGCACATGGCAGCGCCTCCCGAAGCCGAAACGATGAGTACAGCCGCCTTACCCTTCTAGGTACATGCAGGCGCCGTATCGGACTAACAATCCGAGTGATTCTTTCCGGCCCATGATGCCGCGGTATCTCTTTTCCTATTCTTGTCGATAATTCCCTGAACTTCCAACTTCCCAAAACAAATGCACCTCATGGATGGAGCATCGACACCACAAGTCCTGATTCCTCCCTGTAATCTAGTGCGACGAGTGCTGCCACTCCTTGTCTTGCCTGTGTGTGCAGATAGGGTGACTCCGTTGGCCCCCTGCACTTCGGATTGGCCCTTGATGACGGCAGTAGCTAGCGAGGCAGCTCAAGGCGGACCAAGACCCCAGACAGGTGCTGTCTCTCCGGCAAGACAGTCAATTACCTCCAAAGCCTCGTTCAGCTGCGGCGCAATCAAAGTCACGCGACGTACATGCGATGATGGCCTTGGGTCGCCACCCGCGGCGAAGGAATGAGGCAGTGAAACCTGTGCGCCAGCGCGGCGACCGTATGCACTGAGAATCATTGATACGGAATGCCTGTTATGGAATCTGCCTCACGCGAAAATTGGGAGCTGTCCGTCCCGTAAGAAACTGCCTGTGTGGACCGCGCACCTTGAAGAAGCCGCTGGCAAACAGGAACAATGCATTGTTTCAACGTCCTCACGCCTGACCCCCACCCCCGCTAATCCTCTTCTCATAACTGTGCCTCCACCTGTCGATGCTGAGCGCGGAGCTGAAAACGCGGGAAGGGGTGGGGAAGCCGGATGTAGAGTACAAACATGCTGACCAGCCTGGCTACAACATGCACTAGCGCAGCACAATAGTCTGGGGAAATGACGTCAGTAGTCAAGGAGCAGCTGGTTTATTTTACGTAAAGAATCAATATCTTCGTTGTTCTGGAGAGTAGCATGCAAAAGTTGAAGAATACATATCTGGGAATGGCCCAGGCCCGAATTTGGGGGACATTATCAGTTGTGGGGCCGTCCGAAGTCTCTTTTGCTGCCGTGCGCCAAAGGTCGGCTTTCACGGCGTGCTATGCCGACCGATCTGACAGCTGCCTTCCTGATAAAAGAGTCACGTGGTCGGAAAACGGAGCCAAGTCCGACAGTAAACAGCCCTCCAGGCGCTGTCAAGAAAGCTTGATGATAGTAGCTAAAGTATGGATGCTACGGATAATTCACATGGGCAACAGCACATCAGTTCTCACACCGGACTCTGACACAGCCCGGCCGGTCTATGTTCCAGGAAATCTGTGGTTTATCACAACAACACGTCCAATCGGACATGGCATATTCCAAATACGCTGACGACGGAAGCGGTCCCTGTCCGACTGCCCTGGTCATCCTTCGCTTGTTAAGGGGCCTTCATGATACTAACAACAAGCTATCTTGTGCATGACTGGTGACTTAAAGCCTAAGGATCGGAGATGGCTCGTTGATTTCTCGTCTTTGCTGCCGCACACTCATCATACGGAGTTGCAAAGACCGAGCCGATGACTTGCACACCACCACTTGGTATCACCGTGACTCGGCAACATCATGACCCACCAAAACTGTTCGAAGCTAAACGTAGGAGACCGTCGGCAACCTGCCATTGCCAACATTCTTTGGGTTCCAGGCTGGCTTCTCGGTTTGGCCGCCAACTCCTAGCGCGGCCAAGCCTGGTTGAATCAAGTGTTGTTCTCCAGCCCCTGGCTGCATTCCGGCAGACCCGAGTGGACATCGCACTTCTAATCAGGGCGCGGGCGATTATTTTTCACTTAGCTATCGTCGACGAAGTCTGATCCATCTGTTCAAAGGCGAGGCCACACGTCTCCGAGACTGTAAGCCGGACCGAGACCATGACCGGCAAGCAGAAGACGCAAAAAAGCAGAGATAATCTCCAAAACCCGTTTCCTGAATTAGAGCGGTGAAGTGACGACGTGGTCTTTTAGCTAGTTTGGCATGGTTGTGTAGGCCACGCCCTTCGCATGAAGCGAAGAAGGGAAGATCTCAGCCGACATTGTCTGTAGAATCGGCCCCCAATCCAAGAAGGAGGAGATAATCATGAGTTTAGCAATGCAGCGTAGATAATGAAGAACTTCACAGCAAAGGTTCATTCCAAACCTCAAGAAGTTAGCAACGCAACGGAAACTGATTTATCAGGATTGTCTGACCTCATACGGTGTTAGGTTTTCATCCTCCCACAAGGGGTTTTACCTATTGGTGATACTTCAATGAATAGCCGGGCGCGTAATAACGAGACTAGTTTTCTTGTGCTCAGCTCTTTCCTGGTAGGATGAAGCCTTGTTCTCTGAATTGAAGCCCCTCCAAGGTCAATCTATGCCTGTGGAATTACTGAGCAGACGACTAGAGATGAGTCGGCAGCTGTAAGCCTGGTCCAAAGACGTGTGTATAAGCAGAGCCATGACCGTAGAGAATAGGCGTCTGCTATCTATGGTAGGTAAAATCAGTACTAAAGGGTGCGGGAAAATGTGGGAGAAATGTTTTGGAGTAGATTGAAGTTAAGAAAGGGGTCCACAGCTTTTAACATGGTTGCGTTCGAAAGGTCAGTTCCGCATACGAGCAGGAGGTGCCGAGCACCTTTTGTTTCAACAACGGTCGGGAATTGAAGCAAAGGCATGTCGATTTGGCAATAATGAAGTTCAAGACAAAGGCGGATTCCGTTTACGCCAGTACTCATGTCGGCAGCATAGAGTCGCAATTTTTAGCACAGCCCAATCGCACCAATTATTCCAATCTCGACAGCCAATTCAACTCAGTGAAATAAGTGAACGAGGCCTTGGCGCAGCACGCAAAACGGCTGAATACTTGACACAAGAGATGGATAACGTGCGGAATGCCATTGTTTCGGTCGCTGCGCATCCCATGAACTACTACCGAGATATCAAAACAGGCACTTTAACATAAATGAAAATAAGTAGATCAGTTTTGGACCTGTCATCTCACCAAAAGAAAAAAAAAAGGACACATGGCAATTGATCTGAACTTGGTACGAAGCTGAGATGCTGATCGTTGATGCCATCTTGG